CCCCAAAACCCCAAAACCCCAAAACCCCTATTGCCAATATATAGTGTATAAACACAGTAGGGATAATATATTCAGGATTAATAAGATAATAACTATTCTAAAAGTTTATATCTTAATTATCAAACAAACAGATGGAAAATAATCCTCCCCTTAAAAGAAAGGAGACTGTATTCCTAAACTTAAAAGACGGTGAAGAGAACGATCCTGAAGACACATACGCAAAAATTGTTAGGAAGTACAGATAGTCAAAAAATGTACCTTGGAGAAGATTTTGTGAGACTCCAAGCTTTCTGAAGCTCGTTGGGAAACTTACTAATGAAGATGTCATAGATCTTGGTTGTGGAGAAGGATTCTATACCAGGAAATTGAGATAGTTGACCACTGGTAAGGTTTTCGGAGTTGATTTCTGCGATAACTTCATTAAAATGGCTCAATTCTAACAATACGGTGCCAATGATATTGATTACAGATAGTTTGATTGTGGTCTTCCAATCGAAGACATTCCTGGTCAGTTTGATTTAGTGACGCCTACATTTCTCGTTTAGAATGCTCTGTCTGAGGAAGATTTGGAATAAATGGTACAAAACATTTGGAATTTGTGCAAACCAGGCGGGAGAGTTTGCGGTTTGAATGCCAGTCCATTCGTTCCAGTAGAGGAATTTAAGAAAGATGAGAAATATGGTCTGTCATTATCATAGAAATCTACATTCTACTTTGAGGAGAACGCCTCAGAATACTCTGTTAGATTATTTGATAAAGAAGCTGACATGGATATTTCACTTAGGCTTATGTGGTACTCAGGTTAATTCTATGAGGAAGCTTTCCGAAAAGCTGGCTTCACAAACTTCAGATGGGTTTAGTTGGAGTTATTTGAAGATACTGACAATGCCGAGTATTGGAAAGATTTCCTAACTAATTGCTAAGTGATAATGTACGAAGCCATTAAGCCTTTGAACAAGGACTGAAATAATTTAAATAATTATTAAATAATAACTTTATATAAGACCTTATTATTTATAGGTTTAAATTGTAAAAAAGAGGGATGAGTAGATGTAACTAATTCATCAATTTCTTTAAATAAATATTACCGTTCGATAAAACTAATATGTATTTATCTTCGAAAAAAATTCAAACATTCATCCATTTAATAATATTCATTAGACTAGATCAGCTTTTAATTAAATCATTATTAAGGTATTAAATATATTAAAAATTCTAAAGTTTAATAAATTTAAATAATATCTCAGTAATTAAGATTTCATTTACTGTACTATTAAACCTATTATCGAGTTATGGGGTTTTGGGGTTTTGGGGTTTTGGGG